AAAGGGAGGTGAGTTGGGCCGAGGGTTTAGCTCAGTGGTTCTGCCGCCTGCCTTGCAAGCGCAAGGTCCTGAGTTCGATCCCTGGTACCAAAAAAAAAAACCCTACATACAACCTACATACCCCCTATAATCTAAATGGCCTATATATAACCATTATTTAATAGTCTAACACTATGCTTAAATAACTCATTATTTCCTTAGTGACTTACCCTTTAGGAAGGGTGCTAATCATTCAAAAAAGATATTCAAATCCAGAACAAAGACATACCTTAGGGTCCACAACATTCACATAAACATCTTGATAAGGTCTTAGCCGGAACACTTGAGTCACAGTCTGGTCCACACTGATAGTTTCTGAAACAGAGAAAAAAATGTGAATCAGATAACACATTTTGAAAAAGCAGGTAAAGCTGGCATGGAAGTGCATGTCTGTAATCCCAGCAGTCTCGGAGGCTGAGGCAAGAGAATAACAGGTTTGAGCCTAGCCCGGGCAACACAGTGACTTAGCAAGATCCTATCTGAAAATAAAAAGTACAAAAGGGCTGGGAATACAGCTCAGTGTGAAGGCCCTGAGTTTAATCCATAATACCGTAAGAAAAATAAAAATGAGAAAAAAGTAGGTGAATACATTCTAATCTATAAAAATGACAACAGTGGGGCCAGGGCTCAGTGGCACTGCACCTACCACCTCACAAGTGCAAGGTCCAGAGTTCAATCCCCGATACCAAAACAAACAAACAAAAAAATGCAGACATTATACAAGCAAAACAATTGATCATTTGTCATGAGAAAGACATGTTCTTTTTCTTCTAAGAGCTTAAAATTTAAACAGTTCTCTGCTTTTCCTCCAGGGTGTTCTTTTATCTTACTTTTTCCTCTTTTACTAGGCCCAAGCTTGCTCTCTTACTCTTCACTCTTACTTTTTCAAATACTTTGCCACTGCGAAAGAAAAAACGAAAGAAAGAAAGAAAGAAAGAAAGAAAGAAAGAAAGAAAGAAAGAAAGAAAGAAAGAAAAGAAAGAGAGAGACTGGGATGTAGAGATTATGTGAGTTCAATCCCCAGCACTCAAAAAAGAGATGAGGGATGAGGGAGGGCCGGGGATTTAGCTCAGTGGTTCCGCCACCTGCTGCGTAAGCGCAAGGACCCGAGTTCGATCCCCAGTACCAAAAAAAGAAAAGAGAGATGAGGGAGAGACATAAAAAAATGTTCAAAGCCCAGGGATTTAGCTCAGTGGTCCCACTGCCTGCCTCACAAGCTTAAGGTCCCGAGTTCGATACCCCGTACCAAAAAGAAAAAAAGGGGGTGGGGAGGTTTGAGAGAAAGACCTTTGTGTTCGTCACTTTCTCATTGCTGGGACAAAATGCCCAACACTAACAACATAAAGAAGAAAAGATGGGGCCAGGGATTTAGCTCAGTGGTTCCAGCGCCTGCTGCAAAATCACAAGGTCCCAAGTTCAATCCCCGGTACCAAAAAAAAAAGGTTTGTTTTGACTCACGTTTAAAGTCCATGTTTTGCCAGCTACAACAAAGAAACAGCAGGGCAGAGAGCACAGCAAAGGAGAAGCTGCTCACCTCATGGCAGCCAGGAAGCAGAGAGGAGGAAAGAGGAATTGGGAGGGGAGATATATCCTTCACACTCCCAGTGACAAACCTCTTCCAACCAGACACCACCTCCTAACAGCAAGACACCTATCACGCTCCCATAATCCAGTCACCTTCCAAATTCCCACCTATGAGCACATGAAGCTCTTGTGGGACATCTAGATATAAACCATAAGTCTTGCTGTGTAATCCAGGTTGGCCTGGCACTCACAATCCTCCTGCTTCAGCCTCCCAAGTGCTAGGATTACAGCTGTGCACCATCATACACAGCTTTAAAATTTTTTTAAAAGGTTAGGGATGCAGTTCAGTGGTACAGCACTTGCCTAACATGTGTGAGGCCCTTGGTTCAATCCCAAGTACCAAAAAAAAAAAAAATTCCCAGTACAGTGCTTGCACAAGTGGTAGACAATCATCAGTACATGCTTCTTCTATGTCCCTATCTCATTCAGAGTAGGCACTTAATTTTTTTTTCTTCAGTACTAGGGACTGTGAACCCAGGGCCTTTGCACTAAGCTACATCCCCACCCTTTCTTGTTTTTCATTTTGAGACAGGATCTCACTAAGTTTCCCAGGCTGAGCTCAAACTTGGAATCTTTGTGCCTTAACTTCCCAGAGTGCTATGATTACAGGCATGTTCCATCACACCTGTCTTAGGTACTTAAATGCTTTGTGCAAAAAATATAATACTTAAAACATGCTTTCCTATGGTCAGATTAACTTTTCTCCTGATGCTAAATACAGTTTTTTTAAGTGCCCTAAAAAAGCTGACAAAATGAGATTCTTTGGTAGTTTTGATATTTTACATTTTATTTTAAGAGAACACAATTTCATAAGAAAGTACTAGGGCTGGAGATTTAGCTCAGTGGTTCTGCCGCCTGTTCCACAAGCACAAGGACCCGAGTTCGATCCCAGGTACCAAAAAAAAAAGAAAGTAGTAATTTGACAAGAAAGTACTTGCTCTCATACCCTAAAATTATGAAGTTTTTACAGTTTCTGAGACAGTAAATACAAAAATCGCAGACAAGAGAGATGTAATCCGTACCTTTCTGTAAGTCTTCTTTAAGTGACTTGACTTGCAACAGCAGAGGGCTGGAAAATAAAGCAACAAAGATATGGGAGACTGTAAACAGTGATGCCTCAGCTCACCATCCCCCACCCAAAAAAAGGCAAACAGATCACTTTGAACATAATGTAACCTAAGGCACAACAATGGGAGACTGTTCCCTTAGAAACAAAGAAACTGCGTTTGCAAGAGAAATAGATAAATTTAACAGAACTTTTCAGTTATCATTTCAGTTTTTAAAAATAAAGAAAGATGAGCTGCAGTACAGCACACCTGTAATTCCAACAATAAGACAGCTGAGACAGGAATATTCCAAGTTTGAGGCCAGCCTCAGCTACATAGCAAATTCAAGGCCAGCCTGGCCTACATAGCAAAAAGCTGTCACAAAAGAACAAACAGAAAGGAAGGCAGGGAGAAAGGAAAGAAGGGAGGGTGGACAACCCTTAAAAAACTATTGGTTTACCCAATCTCAAAGGGTATAAGCATTTTTAAAGGCAAAAAGTTATCTTGCTCTTCAAGCCCCTTAGACAAAAAATAAATACCATTTGGAAACAGCAAGCTATCCAATTCCCTTGACCTTAATAACATGCTCACCTGTATTCATCATTGGGGTGAGCAATCTCCACAATGTCTCCAAGCTTGATGTGAGGAAACACTTTAGGGTTCACAACTAGCTCATCATCTGAAAGACAATTCAGTGACCTTAAATAGAAAACACTCTACTCTGCAGTAGAGTGTGTGCTCTGCAAATGCAAGGCCCAGGTTCAATCTCCAGCACACACCCACCTCCTCAGAAAAAAAAAGTAAAAATATCAAGTAAAAAATACATTCATGTGGGTGACAAGTACACTGTGTACCCTATTGAGTTGATATTACTACCCTGTATCACAGATGTGGTTCTTTTTTTTTTTTCTGTATCACTGAGACTCCATTTTGAGTTTTTTGTTTTTGAATTTTTTTCAGCGCTGCAAACTGAACCCATAGGAAGGAGTACTCTGCCACAGAGCTATACCCTCAGTCCCTAACATTCCATTTTCAAGTTTAGAATGATGAAAGGATATGCACAGGAATCTAGGTACTGAGCTAGTGAGTAGCTGAATCAGATAGGGCTCAGAGACCTTTGTCCAGAGCTCACACTCTTTCTACTATCCCACTGAGCCCATGAAAAAGCAGCCCATGGTTTCTGAGAATGAAGTCTCTAGGATAGGCCTTTATGCCTTCAAATATCACAGATCTGGCATACACCAGGTTCTAAAAGGCTTGGGTCCCACAGGTATAGCACAATCAGTGTTCAAAGAATTTCCCTAAACGCTGTCTTAATGTGACTCTAACAATGGATCTGTGATAATGGTGATAATGGGAGAGAAGAAATAAATGGGAAATAAACTGACTTGCCTAAGAGTCAACAGCTAGTAACTATATAGGATTCCTTCTACTTAAAACCTCACCACCTCTCATGCATGACAAACATCAAGCCACATAAAAAGCCCTGGACTTTGATAGGCAGCATCTGATCATGGAACAACTTCAGGTATCAGTTCACATTAGAGTTCAGAAAGACCCTGAAAATATAGGGGGTAGGGGCTGGCAGAGTACATCCTTAAAAGCACAAAAGACCCTGACTTTAATCCACAGCACCAAACAAACCTCAGAGCCATAAGACAGAATGACTATACTGCTGGGGTTGTTTTTGGTACCGGAGATCGAATTCGGAACCTTGTGCTTGTGAGGCAGGTGGCGGAACCACTGAGCTAAATCCCTGGCCCCTTATACTGCTATTTTAGATTAGACAGAATTACATCACCTTTAATTATTCTAACACCATGAAAAATAAGTACACCATTGGGCCGGGGATTTAGCTCAGTGGTTCTGCTGCCTGCCTCGCAAGCGCAAGGACCCGAGTTCGATCCCTAGTACCAAAAAAAATAAACAAGATTTCAAGGCCTGGCATGGTGGCACATGCCTGTAGTCCCAGCACTTGGGAGGCTGAGGCAGGAGGACTGCCATGACTTCGAGGCCAGCCTGAATTACATAGCGACACTCTGTCTAAAAAAAATAAGAGATTTCAAATAAAAGCTTAGCATGGTGGCACATGCCTGTAACCCCAGCAGTCAGAGGTTGAGGCAGAAGGATCACTGAGAGTTCAAGGCCAGCCTACATTACAAAGTGAGAGCCTATCTCAAAAAAAAAAAAAAATTCAAATATAATCATATTCAACAAAAATTTGCTAATAAAGTGAAGCATTGGGTTAATCCTCAATTTTATTCAGTATGTTTCCATGGACCATGTTATGTGTATCTCTGTGACCTTCTCCTAACTTCCAGTCTAAATTAAGCTCCCTGAGCACATATTTTGCTGTTTTATCATTTCCTAGTGCATGTTTGTCTCACTGGTGTGAAAGTTCCTTAGGAATGAGAGATCTTGTCATAGTCATACTCTTTGTGTTTGCCATAGGTATATACTTAATAAATATTTACTGGTTGTTTCATTTTATTTTGTTTTTTGTCTTATAGTACTGTATTAGGGATTGAACCCAGGGCCTTCACACTGAGCTACATCCTCAGCCCTTTTTAATTTTTTTTTTGGTACCAGGAATCAAACTCAGGTCCTTGCGCTTTCAGGGCAAGTGGAGGAACCACTGAGCTAAGTCCCCAGCCCCCTTTTTTATTTTTTGAGACAGGATCTTGCTAAGTCACTAAACTGCCCCAGGTTAGTGTTGAACTTGTGATCCTCCTGCCTCAGCTTCCCAGAGACCTGGGATTATAGGCATGCAACATCATGCCCAGCTTTACTGGTTGTATTTAAATGTATACTCTAGGGTACATCATCTAGCTTCCTTTGTCTTATACACATGACAACATGGACTTGTATGTGTTGTATATGTGCCATATACATTGTATCCTTGTGTTATTTCCTCTGCCAATTATTATTATTTTTTTTTTTTGGTACTGGGGATTGAACTTGGGACCTTGTGCTTTCGAGGCAGGAGATACCAATGTTTTTTGTTTTGTTTTGTTGGGGTTTTTTGAGACAGGTCTGGATAATGCAGGCTGGCCTTGAACTCACAGGGATCCCCCTTCCCTCAGCCTCCTGAGTGCTGGGATTACAGTCATGTGCTACCACGCCTGGCTTCCTCTGCCACAGTTATTTCTGTTCTCTGTTCAATAATTATCTATTATTCCACACAAATGTTTAGGCAACATCAATAGCACACAAAACACAGGGTTAACAATAGACTGCAATTTAGCAGAAGTGGTGTTTCAGATATATCCATGCTTGGTAAATCTTTGGCCTGATAATTATAATGGCTTCATTTATTGAATATGAACCTGGAACCTGCTAAATGCTCTTACATGGTCATCTTACTGAAGCCTCAGAACATCCTATGATTTAGAAACTATTTTCCATTTTTATGGGATTTTTTTTTTCCTTGGTTTTTTTGAGTCAAGGTCTTGCTACATAGTCTAGGCTGGACTCAAACTTGCAGCAATTCTCCTGCCTCACCCTCCTCAGTGCTGGGATTACAGGCATGTGCCACTACACCGGGCTTATTTTCTTTTTGACAGTTCCTGCCCTCCAGTGGATTATACATATATAACACAGAAGTAAATGCATAATAAGATATAAATTAAGGGCTTGGGGTGTACCTCAGTGGTAGGGAGCAAGCTTGAGGCCCCAAGTTTGATCCCCAGCACTGCAATAAATAAATAAAATAAACTAAAAAATGTTGTGTTAATTCCAATTTCTGATGTAAATGAGGTTGTTAAAAGAGAAAATTATTACTCACAAAAGAAAAAAATCATACTATTGCCCTCCTATTCCACAGATTTATGGAGTCAAGAGCCAAGACAAACTGTTGTAAAACCCTTGAATTTGCAGAAAAGGTAAACTAGGGGCTTGTCTGAAATCACAGAGAAAGCCAGAGGCAGAACAGGTATACAGATTCTGCCTTAGTGCATGGTACCATGCTGCATCCTATCCCTTCTTCCTTAGACCAGGACCTAGGCAAAGGTGCTTGCTTTGATCATACCTCTTCTATGCACACATAAGAAACATCTCTCTCACTGAACATGAAAAAATGAAATACCATTTTAGTTCCTGTTACCTGCCAAAGCAGTACAGGATGGAATTTCACATATACAGCAAAAAAATAAACACAAATAAATGAAGGGTAGTAAATACAAAAAATGGACAACGTTCCTTAAAAGTCTGAATGCAAATGCTTTCAGAAAGGGCCTGTAGTCTCAAATTCTATCCTCCTTATTGCTGTAGCTGCTTCACTCAGTCGCCTGTCTAGCTTACATTGTCACATGAGCTGCTGAGTAATTTTCAAGTCTCTGGACACATTAGAACTTCACCCGACTTGCACAACCCCCCAAAACTAATCAATACTGACCACTGCCCCCAAATCCTTTTTTGTGGATGACCAGTTTGTAGACCTTTGTTGTTCTCATCTTGTTCTGTAGTTTCCTTCAACTGTTCCAGCCTTGGGATAGAGAAGTCATCTTTTCTCCCTGCCATTGAAACAAACAAAAAGGCTAGAATGTAGAACTTTTCCCCGCCTCGGCTTTGATTTTAGATCAGTGAAGATACTGGTGTTGCTCAGCCGACAGATGGAAGGGCCCAATCCTAGGATGAAATCACTCTCCCGATTACAAGAAGAGAGGTAGAACAAAGAACCACAGAATCTAGGAATTAAGGAGAATTCCGGCAGGGGTCTAGTCAAACTTCAAAAAAGATATTCTACCTCATTCCTAAAGGGAAGACTTATAATCGAATGGAGCACTCATTACCTTGTCTCCAGCTACACCAATAAAACACAAATATTATACCGATTTTAGGAGGCTAAGCTTCAATTTGTAGATGAGGAAAGTAAAAGCCAATACATGGGACTTTACCAAGGTCACTCAGAAACTTCGAGGCAGTCTCACAATTCACATTTTGCCAAAAATGTCCTGGAAAAAGCCAGTACAAATAGGAGGAAAGCAGGATTTCCTATGCCGAACCTGCATCCGTACCAACTCTCAGCTGACCCTCCCGCCTCCATTTCACCGCTCAGAGAGGGAGAGAGACTCGTCCAAGGTCACAGAGCGGGTTGAAGACAGAATAAGAACTCGAATCTGGACCACAGACCCCTCCTTCAAGCTGTATCCCAAGGAGAGCAGTTTCACTCACCCTCAGGTCCGGAGCCCCTTCCAGCCTCAGGCCAGGGAGTCGAGAGCCAGACTCTCAGAAGGTACCCCGGGTCTCCTCTGCACGCCTAACCTAAGCCCCACGCCCGGTGCACCTTCAGACCCTGAGTTCGAGACGCTGGCGAGGGAACCCCTACCGCGGAGGGTTCACCTGAGAACCCGCGCCGCTTCCGTGGCCCCGCCTGGGTCCCCGCCCCCTTCCCGCCCCCGCGCCCCCGCGCCCCGGAGCCGCTCTCGCCGAGCCTCCGCCGCGTCTCGGTGGCCGCGCCACTTCCTCATCCGGGGCTTGCGCTGGGGGCGGGGCATCGCGTATGGCTTCTCACTCTGACCACCGGCTGTGGTTTCCCGCCAGTTGGCCAGATGGCCGGCTTCCTTGGGGAGGAAATCTGCACATAGTGCCCATGAGCTTCGTTTCCGACTTGGCGATCCCCCAACAGGGGAAACTGGGCGAGTTTCCCTTGTTCCTCCTGAGCTGTCTCTTTGTGACGCTCGCCTGGCCCTACAGTGCTGTTGAGAGGAGCAAAAGAAAGTTTTTGGAACTTTTATAAAATGCGGAGAGCTAAGCATATGAGACAATGGTGAGCGCTCCTACTGGGAAATATCAGTTTGCAAACCCAAGCCCCAAAAGACGTTCTTTACTCCTAAGAGTTGACATGATTAACAGACTTATGTAGTTTTAACCCTATTAGGTAATAGATCATATAAAACTTCCCTGGCAGGAAACAACCTATGGCTACAAACTCCAAAGAATGGAGTACGAAGCCTTTTCTTTTCCCCCTCGGTGCTGGGACTCCAAACCAAAGCTTTGACTAAATGCCAGGCAATCTACCACTACACCCTGGCCCTTCATTTTTAATTTTGAGACAAGGACCAGCTATGTCGCTAAATTGCTCAGGCTGAACTCGAACTTAGAATCCTCCTGCCTCAGCTTCTTCCAGTGCTGTGATTACAGGCCAGCACCAACACAACCAGCTAGGTCTTTTTATAACTGGAATCCATGTGTTATGTCAAACCATTACCCCACTTCTAATCACAGTGACTACTAAATCTAAATGGCACTTCTACTTCCAGTCCATTATAGCACTTTGTTTTTTTGGGGGGGGGGGTGTTTGTTTGGTTTTGGTACTGGGGATCTAACTCAGGACCTTGGGAAGGTGTGGTGCCACTGCGCTAAGTCCCTGGCCCCTACAGCACTGTTTCAATTTCTTAACAGCTTTCACACAAGCTGTTCCAATTTCTTATGGTTTTCAGGACCCCATATGAATGTTGGCAGAAAAAAGTGGGGTGTACCAATGAGAGACTTGGGTATGAGCTAAGGGGACCCCTGCAGTAAGACAAGCAAAAACTTCCTTAAACGTGATGATTTTATTTAGAATTTGTGCTAAGTTAAATAATTTATTGAGTAATTGTGAGGTACTTTTATTTTTCTGTCCTGGGGATTGAATCCATAAATTCCAGGCAAATGCTGTAACCCTGGCTACAAACTGTATCTGCAAGACCCCCCCCTCTTTTTTTGGTATGGGAGTGGGGGCATCGAACTTGGGTCCTTGTGCTTGCTGGTGGCATAAGCACTGAACTAAATCCCAGGCCCTTACCCCCCTTTTTTCAGATGACTTCACACTGAGATACCTAGGCTGGCACAGAACTCCTTGGTTTAAGCAGTCCTCTTGCCTTGGCCTGCCTAGTAGTTGAGACTGCAGACAGCAAGGCACTAGACTTGAGAAAACTTAAAAGAAAACCTGAGCTGGGGATTCAGCTCAGCAGTAGAGTACTGGCCTGACATGCTTGAGGCCCTGGATTAGATACCCAGCACAACAAAGAAAAGAAAAATCATACAGGGCAGTTGTGGTGCACCCTGTAATCTGAGCTACAAGTCCAACATTCGAGTTGGGAACAAATCGAGGAAGTATCGCGTGTCTGCCGGACATGGTCACAGTTGTGCTGCTGTGTCCCTACTGTACAGTGTGATAGTGACAGTATTGCTGTGCTCAGTTAGAGCCCAGGATGTCCAGAAGCAAGAGGAAAAGCTTAACATTGTATATTTGTGTCAAAGATATATCAGACTCACTTTGTTGGACCTTCAAACTAATCTGACTTGGGCCGGGGATTTAGTACAGTGGTTCTGCCGCCTACCTCGCAAGTGCAAGGACCCAAGTTCAATCCCCGGTACCAAAAAAAAAAA